TAGCACGCATGTATGTACCATCTGTATTATATGAGCGTAGAGAGCGTGGGGTGTTGGGCAAGATTGGAGATACTTGCTAGCGACGAAGCAAAAAAGGAGAGAGAAAAAAAGCTGGGACGGAGAGCGCTTTTCTCTGGATTCTGATTGGCTGCGACAAGCGCGGCGGCATGCGAGCTGAAGATTACATAATACTGCTTAGTAAATGGGGTAAAGCTGAGTCAGCTTTTTAATTTTTGCCTCGCGAAAAAGCGCAAAAAGAGAAGAAAAAGTCGATTTAAAAGATGTAAGAAGACAGAGAAGATTGAAGTAGATTGGATGATAGAGTAGATGTGAGTGAGATGGTAGAGTAGCTTCCGAGACGATGAGCAGCCCTACAGCCGCGCAAGGAGAGAAATCGAGATAGATGCATAAAGTGCGCTCCGGCAGCTCGTCAGGAAGTTACATTACATTACATTCATACACACATTCATACGGACATGCATCAAAACGTAACTCAAGCAAGCAGTTCTTCACGACGAAACTCAATTCCAGCAACGAAAAAGCAAGCATGAAGAAGTCTAAAAGTCACCCGGCCTCGACCATCGATATATCGGTAAACAACATGGTACCGCCCATCCGATCGGGAACAAGATAGTAGAAGGGAGGTAGCGGATGGATGGGCCGTTTGCGCTTTATCCTGCCTCCCATGCATGGCCTGGCGTCCAAGAATGGGTGGTTTTGCGTGCAGCTGTCTGCGTCTTAGACGGGCATATAGAGAGGACAATTACGGGGATGATCCCACCGCCACCGAGGGAAGGGAAAGGGAAAGGGATCGGGCTGATCTCCGTGCATCTACAACCCTACAGCGAGCATCACACTTGTACTTGTACCCGGTACGGTATGCTTGGTGAGTTGAGTGTGTTGGAGGTTAAGAGTAAGGGTGAGAAGATAACGTAAGATCCGCCAGGGCAGGAAAGTAAGGCAGCAAGTCAAGAATAGAGGCCATCCACGGTTAAGGGTAGGCGGGGAGGAGAGAGAGGTAGGTTGGATGGTGATAGATGGTGAACAGTGGCAGGTAGTGCTGGTAATTCTTCTTCTCCCCGAGTCCTTGCCTTGCCACCCGTCCATCCGCCGTGTCCCGTCCGCCACACATATACACATATATACTACGATCAAAAAGATGTACAGCCGAGGCCAAGCCCAGTGTTAGAGCAGAGGAGAGATGTAGAGTGAAGTATAGTAAATATTTGATAGGAAGGTTAAGTAAAGCAGTAAGTACGTACGGGGTCAGTTAATGTGCATCAACAGGGGAAGCAGTAATAGAAAAAAAAAAAAGGAAAAGGGGGTCGAAAAAGCGAGATAAGCCACTCGAAGAAACAGCAGAAAGGAAAGGATAATCCAAGATCAACAAGAAAGACAGAAGGACAGACAAGGCAGATAAGGGAAGGGCAAGGGGGGGGGGCTTGGGGTTGGGCAGAGCATGGGCAGGGGGGGAGAGAGAGAACTGACAGACAACTTGGAGTAAAGAAACAGAAAAACAGGGCAGAGACAGGAGAGGACATTGAATC